TTTCTCTCTTTCTTTCTCTCTCTCTCTCTCTCTCTTTCTCACCTTCTTTCTCAAAACCCTTGCGTACCTACTCCGCCATTCCATCCGTATTTCCTTCCCACCCTTTGCCCTCGACCGTGCTCTATGAGGTCGATAGCGGCTATCAAACGAATGAAACGAACGCACGTACACGCGTAACGCGACGTAAGAGACGTTCGAAAACGTGGGAACTGGAGTGTATCGAGTGTACGTACGTGCATATGTGGGTGAAGTTGGGTGTGGGCCCCATACTTCATGTCTCTTTGTCCGATTTCAAATGGCACCGCAGTGACGAGAGATCGAGGCATTGTGCATTTGTGGAGAATATGAAATACCACGAGGCTTCTTATCAGCCTATCGTTTCTTCATCCGCGAGTCTTTTCAAAACATCGTGGAACGAGGAATTTCCTGTTTGCAGGATAATCATTTTGGAAGTTCCATAGAATTTTGTTGAATTCATTTGCTGCATCGGATTATTATTGGGGGATTTTTAACTTTCAATTGGGCCCACAGCGAGTTGTAACTGTACCCTTACAACGTATCCAATTACAAAATTATAAAAATTCTTTTATCATTCTTTTATTTTTAAATACACTGCATTTTGATTTACAATATATCATTTAATTAATTTAATTATCATTTCTGCAATGATCTTCCAATCCCCTGGCGAAGACCAAATAATCCACTGCAAAAAAAGTAGCAAAAAATGAATGGAACAATACATGGAAAGCACCCAACTACACAAAAGTATCCAAGACTTTCACCAGCAAACATCAAACCTTACCAACAGGAAAGAAGGAATAATTATCTCACGCCTAAGAACCGGTCATACCAAGCTGACACATGAACACAAAATCAAAAATATTTCACCACCCACCTGCACTCATTGCAATAACCATTCACTAACAATAACCCACATACTGCACGAATGCCACACCACAGAAATCCAATCAAACAGAAATACGGAATCAAACATAAACCTGACTTCTCAAAATGATATACAAAGAATACTAAAATACCTCAAAACCATAAACTACTACACTCATATCTAATGGCACCGTCGTCGCTAATGACCACGCCGTCGATGCGACATTAAAGAAAAAATAGAAGAAGAAGAATAATTTATCATTTAATTTCTCTAAAAGGATTAAAAGACCCTGTATTATTAAATATTAATTCATTATATTAATGTAATAGGATACCTAATCCTAGTTTATTACTCAATTGGACTTAACAATTGGGACAATCAGATCGACTTCTTGGCTCCATAAATAGATTCGGAACAATTTCTGATTCTTGCACTTCTTGAGATAGATTCGCCTTCGTGCATTTCGATAAGATTCAGTCATGCACGTACTCTTGCGAATTGAGTCCAAAGCTTTTAGAACTCGTTGTTAAAAAAAAAAAGAATAATGCTTCGACTGCGAGAAGAATGGACCAACACGTGTTCATTTTCGTTGCACTTCATACAGGTAAAGAACGGAAGAAACGTGTTGCAGACGAGCGTTTATAACTTGGCAAACTTTCCATGATATTCGTTTCGCCCCTTTCCTACGGCATTTTTCGTGGCGGCGTGAACGCCCACCACGAAGGAAAGTGAATCAACGGCGGCGACCGAGTGAAATGCAACGACCGAGTGAAAAGTGGCGAGTGCCCGGGTGGAATGGCGATTTGAAAGTCTCTGCCTTTAGCTTCTAGCGCCGATTTTCACCTCGGCAGCGTGGCCGGCGACGACGATTGACAATCGAAAGCAGTTGTGCCTGCTGAAAGCTGGTCTTCTTTCTAGAAGGCTTGGCTGGCCAGCGGCGAAATGATCCGCCCCGGCTCGTCACTTTCGCGCTCCTTTCGATCAACACGACGTGAAACAGAGTAACAGCTGCTGCGCGACGAGAACAGAGACGTTAGAATCTGCAGATTCTTTTGAACATTTCCTTTCGTGAAAGAGAAATTTCACTGCGAACGTAATTCAAATGCAAGTGGAATGATACACTGTTCCCCCTCCTTTCTGAACTTTTATTTCACTGATACTCGGTCTACTGATATTTTAATATTTTTATTTTGTTATTTTTAATATTTTAATATTTTCATTTTTAATATTTTAATATTTTTATTTTTAATATTTTAATACTTTTATTTTTAATATTTTAATACTTTTATTTTTAATATTTTAATACTTTTATTTTTAATATTTTAATATTTCTATTTTTAATATTTTAATACTTTTATTTTTAATATTTTAATATTTTTATTTTTATTTTTAATATTTTAATATTTTAGTTTTATTAATATTTTAATATTTTTATAGTTTTATTAATATTTTAATATTTTATTAATATTTTAATATTTTAATATTTAAGTTTTATTAATATTTTAATATTTTAATACTTTAGTTTTATTAATATTTTAATATTTTATTAATATTTTAATATTTTAATATTTTATTAATATTTTAATATTTTAATATTTAAGTTTTATTAATATTTTAATATTTTAATATTTTAGTCTTATTAATATTTTAATATTTTAATATTTTAGTTTTACTAATATTGTAATTTCTGTAATTCTTTCTATTACAACTTACTCTCTATCAATGAAAGAATCGACTAGTTTGATTAACGTTTCACTCAGTTTCATTCAAACCTGGAAACTAACTTAGTTCTTTAATTACGTTGATATTTTGTAACATAAGAAAGTACAGTGACTCGCGTCTTTTGATACTAAATGGTTTAAGAAACACGTGTCATTTTGTTCAACACTGAGTAACTAAATAGAATCTAATATTTAAAATCATAGATACATTGTACATGTATCATATGCGTGTATTTTTGTTTTCCATGTCGCAATAATTGTGAAATTAAATGATCGAAAAACGAAATTCGCGAAACTTCAGCCGTTTTCTGTTTTCCTACGTTCGTCTGTCAATCTTCCCTTTCATTTTTTGGTTTCAGATGTCCTTTGTTTGAGCTGTGCTCAGGCCTCGTCGCCTGAACAAAACGGGCTATGCCGACGAGTAAGTAGCACACCTCTTTTGTCAATACATTTCTCTACGTTTATCATTATGTTACTTGTGTTCGATATCTTTTGTTGTTCACTATCGTTAATTTCGATATTGTCTTTTAATTTAATACAACGATCTATCTACTAGAATTGAAAAATACAATATTACTATTAAACAGAACATAGGAAAAAAGAAAAAAAAAAAAAAAGAAAATCGATCACGTCAAAATCAGTCGTTGCAAAAAAAAAATTGACATCAGATCTCGTAAAACGAAAGTGCCGATCTCTAAATTAATGGCAATTTGGAGTAACGAAAGAGAAAAAGAAAATTGCTCGACCGTTGTAGAATCGTTTGGAAAATGAAACTCGAAGAATGTTCGATGGCATCTTCAATGAAAGAAATTAATACAGCAAGATGTTCCTTGATTCTGACCTATTTTTTCCTGTAACAAATTATCCGTATCCATGATAAATGATCACTGACAATCGATAATTGATAGAATTTTACCAACGAGGACGAACCAGAGGAAATTTGCATCCGTTGTATCGCGTAGCCATTGTAAATACACGAAAGTGACATCATTCGTCCTCGGTTACATAAAGATATCGTCGCTAATAACGATGATCCTTACTGCCATTGTTACATCGCCTAATGTCACTCCTTGTTTCTATCTCTTTCTCAACCGATGTCTCGTTAAAAAGAAAAATCGTCTAATAATACTTCCTCTCTCGTTCAACGTGTGATTCGTTTTAATTGAATTTTCTGCTTAGAACCAAGCGATTCTTACGTAAAAGCCTTGGCAGTTAGACGAGCGATTTAGTTAACGAACTTGTCACTTGCAGCAGGTACTTTTGTACTCTCTCTCTTTCTCTCTCTCTCTCTCTCTCTCCCTCTCTCTGTCTGTCTAGCCTCATCTCACACAGTTTCGATTTAATCTACCAGAACTCGGCTTGAATTCTTTATTCGCTTGCGCTGGCAACTGATTGCGGACCATAACGAGTGACCAAACCGTATACGACAATTCGCCGCTTTCTTCCTGAACTCGTCTGTCTGTCGTATGATAGAAATTATTGAGAACAATTGTATTGTTTGTTTCGCCAGGGTTACACTTAAAATATACTTATCAACTGAGGAAACATTGCAATTTCGGGAGAAAAAAATATTCTCAATGTGTTTGAACTTGTACAAGGTTTGCATCGTCGCCGTGCAAACGTTCTCAATTATACCAAAGCATACCGTTAGGTTCAGTTGATCGTCGAATCGACTTTTTTTCGCTCCAGAAGGCTCGACTCGACTTTTTCGCGAGCGCGCACTGATCCAAGCGGGGAAAAACATTGGCCAGGAGCGTTGTTCGAGCGAGTGTTCGGACGAGCGAGAGAAAGGAGAGGCAGCGGCGCCGCTTCCGGGATTGCGCAAACATCGCGCGACAGAATCGAACGGGAAAGCGCACAATGAACGAGAAAAGGCGTGGGTATACGCGGACGCGACCATCGAAATGGTTATTTTCGACGGTGAGGTCGTCTAGAACGCGTGCTCGAGGACATCCTTTCGCGTGTGCGCCACCTCTCACCGTTCTCAGCGCCGAGCCCACGGGAGACATAACCCCCCTGTGATTTCCTGTTCGATCGCCACGATCGAGCACCATCCAATCCGACTGGTCCGTAGAGAACGTACACACACACACACACACACACACACACACACAGAGGCAGATATATTATGCACGTGGACAATGCGTCTCAGTGGTATACAATGGGGACGTCGCGCAATTAGAACAGGCTCGTCGCACTGAATTATTGCAAGTTCAAATTTGCAATAATTCTGCGTGCACGATCGATAATGTAATTGACGAAAAAGAAAGATCGGCTGTGGATCTTTTTAGAACGGAAGAATATTTATGCAAGTTATTTAGAATATTTAATTAATAATGTCAATCGACCTCGACGCCAAGAAGTTGATGTCTTCAGTCGTTTCGGTGGCTTCAGATTTCAGACGCTGTGAATTCTTATTTCATTTAGGTATTTCATTTACCTGTGATAAATGAATTTTCCTTCGTCTTTGGAGATGATGAATATAAATTGTACGATCAAACTTTTGTTATCAAGGAAGTTTGAGAATGCTTGAGAACTGTACGCGAAGTGGAGTTGTTCAGTTTGGCTTCCGAGAAAACGTTTCATCACTATCGTGTATTTATAACAAGTATGACTGTTATTTATATAATTATAATATACTATATATAATATAACATAATATAGTATTTAAATATATTTATATAATTATAATATGATATAGTATATAAAAATATTTATATAATTATAATATAATATAATTATATAAAAATATTTTTATAATTATAATGTGATATAGTATATAAAAATATTTATACATAATTATAATATAATATAATTATATAAAAATATTTTTATAATTATAATGTAATATAGTATATAAAAATATTTATATATAATTATAATATAATATATAATTATATAATTATAATATGATGTAGTATATAAAAATATTTTTATAATTATAATGTGATATAGTATATAAAAATATTTATATATAATTATAATATAATATAATTATATAAAAATATTTTTATAATTGTAATGTAATATAGTATATAAAAATATTTATATATAATTATAATATAATGTATAATTATATAATTATAATATGATATAGTATATAAAAATATTTATATAATTATAATATCTAAAAATTTGGAGTCTAATTTTTGCAACAATTAAATTTATCAAGTATTTCTTTATTCTGTATTCAACAAACATCACGCGAATCGTGAAAAAGTTAACACTGTTAATGATGAGATGGTTTTCCTTCCTTCGTTTTAACGTCGCCGAGACGATGAGTCAGTGGTGTGAATAATCGTAGAAAGTCGCTGTTCGATTTCATTCGTTTTCGTGGAAAATCCAAGGAGCTCGTTTCTTCAGTTTCTCGTAGGTGGCCTGTTTTTGCCATCGAAATTGTGCAAGTTAACACACGGATCACCGAGTTTCCCGTATTTTCCGCTTCGCTGGTAATCTTTGCGCTCACGAGGGATACACTGTGTGCTTTCCTCGTCGATCGTTATCGGGCGCGGATAAAATAAATTTGAAAGCTGCTGCTTTTTCTTGGAAAATTTGAGACATTAGAGAATAGAATCCTGAGTTATGTGGGTAAATGAAGAATTACATCTACATCAGATTAATTATTAAGTTTGACTTGACAGTTTAAAAAGATGTGTACATGATTTATTATTACGTTGTACATCATTTACATTTTTTGTGTTACATGTTACATGCTAATTTTTGTTCTCCTTTTCTGTATCTTTTGAATTTTATTTACGAAAGATCGAACTGCATCTATGTACGTGCACGTGAAATTTTCGAATTTTCTTTGAATAAAAGGAACATGTCACTTTTGAGTCGAGAAACTCGATAACGCTTTTTCCAATCCGCTCTGCAGTGTTTTAAGACACGTATCGACCAGATAACGTTGAAGTGATTAGATAATGTTGAAGAAATGGTAATCTGGACGAGCTAGACCTAATGAATAAATTATGCGAGGGATATGTTACTTCTTTTGTTACTTCTGCCGTATATAGTCGTGCATTTTTCCACCGAAGGACAACAATAATACAGTGTCTGATACCTGTGCTCTCTCCTGATAACTTTATGGTTGTTTCACAATGACACTATGAAGTTTATTTGAATTTAAAACAGTTGGTAGAAATTAATGGTTATTAAGTAGTAAAATGATAATTAACCGTTTTATTAATCAAAATTAATAAAATGATAAGTATATCGTTTAATATTTGTTGAAACGACGTTTAATTAAGAATGATAGATGATTATTTTTATTCGAGCAATAACTACGGATATTTTGCGAAACTTTATAACTAGTTTGTGCGAAGATGATAAAAAGAAATGAAATCTAGGTGAAAAGTCATTTTATTTGTTGAATATTCCAAAGTGTCAGACTATTTTATATATTTTTATAAATTTTTAAAAATCCGAATTGTTTTCCAAGTTTGTCTGATTTATTATTTTTAGTTCTATTCGTGCCGTGTTCTTTTTGCAACAAATAAATTTATCGAAGTCAGTCGTACGTTTTGACGAAACTGCGAAATTAATAAAAAATAGATTCGACTAAAGTAAAGAGTACATCGCCACAAACAAACCTAATGAGAAAATGTCAGTTGACAGAGCAAATCTCTCCGAGTCGTCGACATCGCCAGTCGGGGCAGAATTTTTTTCGGCGATCCGAGCAAACGGAGGAAAGCGCGCGGTCTGGTCGAGAATCGAGCGGAAAATCGATGACGGGGCGCGAACTTTTTTCCTTTTTTTTTTTTTCCACGGTGTCACCCCGGTTGCAACGACAGGCCAACCTTAACCTCGGTGTCGATAATCAATGGAATCGATCGTAGGCTCGACATGAAAGTGTCCCAAGGTTCGCCGCCACCGAAGGCTGAACGCGCCGCGCGAAACGGAACCTCTCAGCGAAAATTGCCCGAGAAACCTTCGCGTGTCAACTGCGCTCGGCCATTCTTGAGCTTCGAATTTTTTTTTATTCCGTCCGCTTCGTTCCTTTAACCACGCGTGTTCACCTGCAAATGCAACAACGGTGTGAGAACGGCGCAAAGTGGAAGTGTGCAAAGTGATTTGAAGAGACCTTGACAATCGAAATGATGCGATTCCGTCGATGTTCAGTTGGTTTTTATATTTGAAAACGCGCGGCGTCTCGAATTTTAGCGCTTCGAATTTCTATAGAAGGAAAAATACTTGGGAAAAGTAATAATAACGATAATAATATATTATATATTTTTATAATTATATATATTATATGTTTTATATTATATATAATATATTATATATTTTTATGATTATATATATTATATTATATATTTAATATTATATATTATATATATTAATAATATTATATTATATATTATATATATTATATTATATATTTTTGTGATTATATTTTCGTCGAAGTTTATAATTACATACATTTTTGTCGAAGTTTGGTCATTTTTATTTAAAATTCGCGACATAAATTTCGTTGTGCAGAATTTGTCCCGAATTTCGCCAACTTCTATAAAGAAGATATTATAAAGAAAACGATGTGTTATTTTTATTATTATTATTATTGTATAATATATAATTATTATCACAATAATGTTGTACTATAAATAATACAAGTTATAGAATATATATACAGTGTGTTCTATAATAAGACTGAAATATCGTGCAACAGGAAGTTCATAAATACTTCATGAAGAAGTTAAATCAATAATAAAAAAGTATGAAATGTAGCAAATACGATTAATAATCAATCAATTTCGATGATGGATTAGTTGAGGTGGACCAGTTTTCTGGTTTCCTTGGCCCTTTTGGTCAAAATCTTACATTTTTAGATTTCTGCTTACAATAAAAATATTCACATTCGAGAGCAAGTAATGTACAAAAGTGAAAAGAAAATATATTTACACGAAATGAATTGACTAGAATAGTTAATATAATTGTATATAATATATATTTTAATATAATATTTTAAAATATATATTTATTATTCTATCTTGGTGCACCAAGTATTTCCTTTGTAAAAATTAAATAATTGTATATAATTAATATTTTAATGTAATATTTTAAAATATATATTTATTATTCTATCTTGGTGCACCAAGTATTTCCTTTGTAAAAAATTATCTACGATTTGTTTCGTTTCGAATGAAATCCTGGCGCGAGAAGGTCGTTTATACGAGGATACCGTTGATAAACTTCTGAAGCCAAGAGGAGAGTTATCGATTAGAAATTTTTTGAGATGTTCCTTTGCCGGAGAGCGAAGTTTCCGTTTAAGGAAGCCGTTTAGAGAGTGGAAACAAGTGCAAGTCAACCGAGAAAAATGCGTGGACGTGCGGGTTGAATGAAGAGCGAGTAGAATTCCAGTGTATCGAGCAGATTTAGCCACGAAACGAGATTCAAAAGCGTCCAGAGTCTCGGATCGACGCGTGAATTTTCACCGATCTTCCCGCGATAGAGAGAGCCGCAACTGTCGTGAACGTCCTCCGAAATGGCAATTTCCAGAATCGAGCGTTTCCACTTGGAAATTTCATCTTGGGATCTTCACCGAATTCAGCGCTGAAGCTCCGCACGGTTCGTGGAACCGGGTCAGGGACAAATCACAAAGTCGCCGGCAATGGCTCTCCAATCATAATGGCCGATTTCCAAATTCGCGTTCAAGGACACCGCATCGATTCCTGTCGCAAGTGTCCCGACATTTCGTGAAAATGTCCCCGAAATTTGCTCGTCTCTCCCGTGAAGTTTGAACTTGTCGAGAATCGACTCTCAGCCATGAATCGAGGAGAACCCATGTGTGAGAAATGCCGTGTCACGGAGTGAACTGAACTTGACCACGTGCCTTACGATTGCCAGTCGTCAACAAACTTATTACAACTTGTTATAACAATTAATCGTTGTTATTAAAATAACTTGTTCTACATTGATCGTTATTATTTCAGCTTGTTATGATTATTAGTCGTCCCAAATGTAGAGCATCGTATTATGAATTGCACAATTTGTATTTGTGATTTTAATCAATCTTCAGCTCCAGGAATTAGAATTGAACATTCAAATTTGCATTTCGTTTGCACAGGATCTTTCGAATCGAAACCATAATTCCCCAATTACGAGTGCGATGTCCGATGTCATGACTCAAATGAAGGATGAACGTTCTAATTCACGGCTTCTCAAATTTGTCCACCTTGGCCACTCACTTTTACCTGCGCAATATTTTCGCGTCCCTAGTCTCTTGATAAATGATATTGCAAATAATGGTTCTCAGGTATCTTGCACGTGCAGTAAAATTTAAATTTCTCCATGTGCTTTATATCTTTATTTTCTATTCTTATCATAGGTTATTTAAATTTAAATTTAAATTTATTTTATTTTTTATTCTTATCACAGGGCATAGGTTATTATATTTAAATTTCT